GTTTTTAATTTCTCTTACTGGGTTTTCTTGGCTATCACATGAGCAGCAATGCTGAGGTCACGGAAGATACACAAAACCTATGCAAGGTCAGCATTACAAAATCTCGGAGAATAGATGGCTGTGACTGGAGGACTTTCAATCCATTCCTCCACTGCAGACATATAGTGAGAAGTGGCCCGTGTGTGCCTTTTGGCTGCCATTGACTGCCTTTGACCCTCAGTGCCTTTGTGTTATTTGGGCTTTGAGAATTAAATTAAAATAGTTTCTATTTAACTCTACAAAAGTTATTCACTCCATCATTATTTATGTTAAGTACTGAAAAGAAAAACTGTTAATACCTGAATGAATATCTAGCAGCTAGTTATTTTCTCGTATCAAGTAACACTTAAAAATTAAGTTCACTAAAAATAGTTTTAAATTAATTTAAATTTCCAATTGTTTTACTTTTGCTAGAAAAAATAAGTTGTGAATAACTTTTTTAAAAAAATTATTACACTGCTATCATATCTGTTATAAAAATGGCTGAAAAAAATAAAAATAAAAATGGCTAATTTTCAGGAGCACCTGGCTGGCTCAGTTGGAAGAACATGTGACTCTTGATCTCAGGGTCATGAATTAAAACCTCACATTGGGTGTGGAGCCTACTTAAAATAAATGGCTAATTTTCATATGTAATTTGATACATTACAATGTAAGTTACATTATAATATAAATAAATTGCATTTAAAGTTTTCAGCAAATAAGGATGCCTGGGTGGCTCAGTCAGTTAAGTGTCTCTGCCTTCGGCTCAGGTCAAGATCTCAGGGTCCTGGGATCGAGCCCCGCATTGGGGTCCCTGAGCCTGCCGCTCCCCCTGCTTGTGCTCTCACTCTCTCGTTCTGACAAATAAATAAAATCTTTAAAAAAATGTTTAAAAGGGGGTGCCTGGGTGGCTCAGTCAGTTAAGCGTCTGCCTTCGGCTCAGGTCATGGTCCCAGGGTCCTGGGATCGAGCCCTGCACTGGGCTCCCTGCTCAGTGGGAAGCCTGCTTCTCCCTCTCCCACTCCCACTCCCACTCCCCCTGCTTGTGTCTCTCTCTGTCAAATAAATAAATAAAATCTTTTTAAAAAATGTTTAAAAAAGTTGTTCAGCAAATAGTTATAAAGTTAAATGTTAATAGCTTTTATGATTTTTAAACTTTTAACTTAAACATTTTAGTCATCACTACCCCTGTATTTAATAAAAATATTTTATGTATTAAGCACAAATATACAGTTATTAAATATATATACAGTATATCTGTGGTATCGAAATTTCATGGGAGGGAGCAATAGGAATTAGGACAAAAATATCTAAAAAGGCTTCTTCAGGAGTGATAATGAAAAGTAGGTGGAGAAACCGCTCTAGGAGCTCTTCTATCTCCTAGCCGAGGGGAAGACATACAATATAATCTAGAATTATTTGGAATTTAATATGTACTGAAACAAAGAATGAAAAGTGTGGGAATTCATTCATTGCAGTAATGGCCTCCAAACTGACAACTGGCAAAAACATGAACTGGAGTCTATCCCCATTTTCTCTTCCCAGCTCTGGCCACTCCCCACTTGCCTGGAACCAGACTTCATCTCTTCCTCCCTGCCCAACATGCCTTCAGTCCTTACATTTGGGGAGGAATAAGCCAACCCTTTGTCCTCTCAAATTCCAGGCCTTGCATGAAGGGAGTAGAGGTGGATAGCCCTGCAAGCCCAGTGGTCTGCAGAGGGAAGTGGAAAGAGCAGAGTTCTCCCCATGACTATGATACACCCTTACTTCTATCAAGCACTTTTAACTCAATTATTAGAATTATAATCCCCAAGTTCCTTGCCAGGCCCCATCACCTCCCCATTCCACTTTCAGATGGACATTACCTGAGAACCTGAGGGGGACCCTGGACAGAGTATCCATCCACTAAAGAGTCCTTCCTAAGCCTAAGCTGTCCTTGACCTTGTCTAGACTTCCAGGTACTACCCAGCCCCTGAGGAAACCGTGGTCTATGAAATCAATGGAAGAACATCTGCTTCCAGTGAAGAATACCTCAACAGCAAAAGCAAGTCTCCATTCATGGCCATAGGCAAGGAGCTGCCTTGCTCTAAATGGGAGTGGTTTTTTTGTTTTGTTTGTTTTTTAGATTGTTCTTTTATTGCTTAGTCTACAGGAGGGAAGAGGCAGCCATTACTAGGTCCTCCGTAAGATTCTGTCCCAGTGATTAGGGGTCTGGTATTGGGGGATTCGGTGATGGGGGCTTCCTGGAGAGAAAGGTCCAGGGAAATACTCCCCAAAATAGGGTGAAGGTGGATCTTTTGATTGACTGAGGACCCTATGTCTTAATGGGCAGTGTAGCTGAGAGGACACCTTCAATCACACAAGTGTACTTTGGCACCTCATTCCAAATGTTCCTTTCTACCCCAACTCCTGCCACCATCCCTGGTGATTTCACTGTCCACAGGGATAACCCAGCCAGCACCCTGGCACCCCAGGCTATTGACTCCTCATTTCCAGAAAATGCCATCTTCTCTCCCCTTTAAGTACCCAATCCTTGGACCTTACATCACTTAGAGTTCTCTTTGCTCTGTCTTCTTAAATACAATCATCCCACTGTCTGACCATATGACTAGTCCCCCAGATCATCTTTCTAGTTCTCTCAACACCCCTTCCCAGATACCTAGAACACTGCCAGACATAGAGCAGGCACTTAACCTTCTGCCCTGTTCATAGACTTCACTGAAACTCCTGCCCATAGAATCCTAGTCTCCCAGTTCATCAATTTCCTCATCTGCCCCCTCAAGCCTGCCTGGGTCCCATGATCCATCCATCTCTTCCACCATTCTGCGTATCTACTATGTCAGACATTATGCACACAGTAATGAAGATACAGACCCACATACTCACTGCTCTTGACCTTATGTCCTTATTCCAGAACCAAAACCTTGGGATAAATTAACTTATCTTCTTGATTCCAAAATTGCTGAGCACCTTGCCATGGGGGAAAGGTCTCCCAAAAATCATGGGCTCCATCCTCTACTGGAGCCTACCCTCTTGCCTGACATCTTTCCACAGTCCCCTTTCCAAATCCCTTCTGGACAGTCCCTTCTCCCAGGCCTTACCCTCCCATCTCCTCAGGGCTACATGGGTCAGTCTTTAACATCTCCCTCTTTATTGGCTCCTGCCCGCTCAAGCCTCTCTCTCCTCTCCCAAGAAAATCCTCACTTGTTCTTGTATCTCCCTTTAGCTACCTCTCTCTCTCTCCTCCCTTTCTCATCCAAATTTCTCAAAACAAGAGCCTATATTTGATATCCAATCTCCTCTACCTCTGCTTTCTGCTTGACTTGCCCACCTCAGGGCTCTTCTTCAAAGTGTGTCCTCTGTGCTTAGAATCTTCATGACTCCCCACCCCACTGCAATCCTGCCTACACTGCAGACTAGAGATGCAGAACAAGCTATCCCAGAGAGATGCTAATCTTTCTCCCCTGAATCCAGTAAACATAGATTTATTTTTAAATGTGATACCAAAATATGACAGCCCACCAAAAAAAAAAAAGAGCAATAAACTCAGAAATGGCAGATAGATTTAATGTAGAATATCAACTTCAATTGATTGATAGTGGCTGCCTAGAGTGCTATGTTGAATAGGTTTCTGAGGAGGCACCCTGGCTCGAAGAGAAAGACTGCTGGGATTAGGAATATCTGAAAACACAAGTAAAAGAAATGCAGAATGTCAGCTGAGAGCCGCCAAAAGGGAAGGAATAAAATGCCAAGAGTGGGGTTTTCCCACATGCTCCATATGGTCCTGCAACCTTGGCCTTCCTATAACCAGCCAGCTCCTCATCCCAACCCCATAAGCCCCGGCTGTCCCAGCCCAGTCTAAGTAGATACCTGAAATCTCACTTATAGGAGAAACCACAGGCACCCGAGCTGCCACTGGCACTGGCACCAGCTCCACTGAGGCCCGCGAAGAGCCCAAACGTGAGAGTGGCGGTCAGGCTGGCAGTGGCACCAAAGCCGCCAGTGGTACTCGCACTGGCACTCGCACCAGAGCTAGCACCACCACTCTCTTGGGCTTTGGCTTTAGCTTCAGCTCCAGCCTGGATCCGGGCTTTAGCCCAGGGTCCAATATCAGCTTCGTCCCAGTTGCAGGGCCCAGCAGCATTTTCAGAGCCAAGCCCAATGCCCATTTGAGCTCTAATCTCAGCTCTCGCCTTGGCTTCAGCTGCTGCCTCAGCAGCAGCCTTCATATCTGCTTCCATTGCCTCTCGGTACTGAGCTGCCCATTCCTTGGGATCCTTCTTTTGTACCTGAAACAGAAATAACCACCATCAGAAGGATCAGAATCCAAGAACCGAGCACCTAACTGTATGCTCGGCACCACGCTGCAGGCTCTCCACAATAATAACAATATAACAAATACTACTAGTACTTATGTGCTTAACATTCCATCCCTGCTCTGACACTTATTAGCTCTGGGAGCTTGGACGTGTCACCTAACAACCTCTCTGAGCCTGATTTTTCTAATCCGGTATAGGGTAATGACATGTTAGCTGGACAAATTAAATGATTCAGATAAATGTTTGGCACAGTGACAGAGGCTTCAGAATGTTCACATATGACCTGCAGGCTGCTCTACACACAGCCTACCCTAGCCAGCAGCACCCTATGCTCTTGATATGCCAAGGTTGGGCAGCTATCCAATTACCTTGCAGGCAAACTTGAGGACTTTCATCTTGCTGGTCTCATAGTAGGAGCGCAGGCCCCAGAAGAACTCATACTCAGGGGGGTTGCTATTAGGGACTCTGGCATAGTCCAAGTACCTTGAAAAGAGAAGTGAAAAGCCTTTATGTCCAAGAAAACCACAGCCCACCCATGTGTGGATTGGACAGGTCCTAAGTGGCAACCTCCCCCACTAAGTACTATAGCTTTTCTTCCAGTATTGAGCCCTGTCCCATTGGTCCTGTCCAGGGAAGCCACATGGAGGTGCAGGGTGGGACATGTGTAGCCTATATGTTTGTAAGAAGGCCACAAATTTCATTGGTCACAATGAACCCAGACTGGGTGTCTTATAAACAGAGAAGCCATTTGCGTAGGCCCCTTGCTCTGAGCACACCCCATACTGGGGTACGTCTACAACCTAGTGAGCCCTGGGACAATCTACCATAGAAAATGACTGTAAAGGGAAGAAACAGTCCACAAAGAGTAGCATACTTCATGTATATTTCCGATCGCGCGCGCACGTATGCACACATGTGCTCTCTAAGGATAAAGGGTATGGTGGGCCCTGACCAGAAAGTCAGAAGGGCTCCATGACCAAATCGGCCCCTTGCCAGCCAGGGCCACAATCAGACTTCCACTCTCTGAGACCCAGGTCCCTCAACTGAAAATGGGGATGGGATGGCAGCACCTATTCTGCAGGGCAGTTACAAAAATGAAATGAGATGCACAAGTCCCCAGCACAGTACCTGGCTGTCTAAAGCTATCATTCTATAGCATCTCTTTATGGAGATTAATTTCTATAAAGCCCTGGTTAGCACAGTAAAAAGAACCTAGGCATTGGGGCCAGGATCTAAATATGACTCTCCCACTTGCTACCTGTGTAGCAATTTACTTGAGCAAATTACTTCACTTCTCTGAACCTCAGTTTACTCACATGTGCAACGCTGGTGATGACAATCCCTACCTTGAAGAACTGTCCTGCAAGCATATGTGAAAGTACAAGTAGGTCAGGAAATGTGTCCTCCTGTTCCCTCTCACTACCTCAGGAATAAGCTACCTACTGCCTGCACACACACACGCACCATAGGTTAATTACTCAGCTCTGAAACAAGCAAAACACGTGAAACACACCATCATCAGACACACACTTACTTCTGTTTCACAAACTCATCAGTAATAAGCTTCTTCACGTCCCCAAAAAGAGAGTGATGTATCCTGATGGCAGAGAAAGAAAAATCCATCAATAAATCAGTTAATCAATCAATCAGATATGCACTTCCCAGATGTATGCAGAGGCATTTTCAACATGGAAAAGAGGTTACGAGCACAAGAGGAAAACTCCACAGAAGCCCAAGAGATAGTGAGACAGGAAGCAGAGTTTGGGACCATTTCCCCATCCACCCAGGTCAGAACCCTGGACCCTTTACCAGCACCCCCACCCATTCCACCAGACCACCAGACTGATGCAATCCTGGAACCATCCTTTCTTTCCAAACAACATGGACAGCAAGCACTGAGAGAGCCCAATCATACCCAGGGCGCAGCCCCAGCTTGCGCAGCACCTCCCAGATGACAGCTGCAAGGGGAGGCAAGAGGAGACAGGGACAGAAAATGAGCATGTGGAATTCCAACTGTGGCCACCCATTCAGCTGCATGCCCAGCCACTCACCCTCACTGGACCGATTTCCATTCATAAAGATGATGCTAAGAAGCACCATGAGGAGACCTAGCTTTGGTGAATCCTTGGTCCTAGGGGAATAAGGTAGAGAGAAGGTTTATGTCTAGTGGCCATCTGCAAAAAACACACCAGCCAGCTCACTAGGCTATCCTCTCCCAGATTCCTCAGACATGACAGAATTCTGCCCAGTCTATGCTTCAAGCTCTATGTGACCCTGAGCAAGGCTCTGAGACTCTTAAGTCTCAGTCTCCTATTGAGTAGCAGGGGAAAATCCAATCTTACCCCACCCCAGGTAGCAAGAGGATGGAAGAATGCCTGTCAACCTGGGACAACCCAGGGACCTTCTCTCCCAGACCCCTCTGCCCCAAAAGAATTCTAGGCACAGCCCCAGTGGGTGCTCCTGTCCTTCAAACATCATGATTCACCCACACCAGGAAGCCCTCCCTTGAGAACCCCACTCTACCAGAGCCAGTAGGAAGAGACAAGCAATGACAGGGCTGCTTTCCTGGGAAGCTTCTGGAGAAACAGAAAACCTGACAGGAGGAATGTACTGCTCCAGGCTTCTATACCCTTCAGTCAATCGTAATCAAGCACCATTACCATATGCAGGACTCCAACTACGTGCAGGAACTGGAACGGGGACTTTTTAAGTCCTGTCTTCCTGACTCTCCAAGGAGATGTGGGGAGAGATGACAGGGATGGGGTAGTGCCAGAGACAGAAGCAGAGCCTTCCTCCCACCCCAGCCCTTTCCCAGCTTACGTTCCCAGTATGCCTGCATCAGTGGGCTCTAAGGTGCTGAGAAGAATGTACAAGTGGTCATTCTTATCAATTTCCTTCAACTGAATCCCAAATACCTATGGATGGGGAAAACAGCTTGTAAGATCACAAATTCAGCTTCCTGAGCATCCCACAGCTCCCATGTACCTAGGTGTGTGGGGCTACGTGGGTGTGGATGAGGATGTGTGTGTGCGTTGTGTGAGGGGAGGGGTCAGTGAGATAATGTACATAAACCTAAGTGGTTGGCAAACAGCCAACAGGTAAGAAATCTACTATTGTTTTCAGTATCATTTCTGTGATTAGTAGAAATCTAGGGAGACAGAGAATAGGAAATAGAAGGAAGACGTGAGGATGTAAAATACATTACAGGACATCTCCAGAAGCAGAGAGAAGCCAGGACTAAGTTGGGTGGCTTGGGTCCTAGCTGCGCTTTTATGAGATTTGCTGTGTGACCCTGGGCTAGTCTATGCCCCTCCTTAGGCACTCTGGATATGGGAAGGCCTCTTCCTATCTATCCATTCACACAGTGATAGGACTGAATAGTGAGTCTCTGTGGTCCCACCCCAGAACAGACATGTACACTTGTTCAATTCAAAGCTTCCCCACTGCATCCATCCCCCATGGCTGCCCCTTCACCTTCTCCAAGGAATAGCCTGCTCGTTCAATGATTTCAGGGTACACATCAGTGTATTCTTTGATGATGTCCTTCAGCATGTCTGCAAGGGGAGAGTGTTGCGAGCACCTGAGCTGAAGTGAAGCCAGGTGGCCCCAAATCCAAGCTAAAGACCCTCTGCCAACCCTGCTGTAGGTGGCACAAACAGGTTCTGAAGTAATGAATAGAGATGCTAGCACTGCCAAATTAGAACTCTGGGAGTACAAAGGTAGGAGCGTAAGGGCAAGGAATGTCCTCAGCACATGGGGAAGAGGGCAGTGGAGGGCACAGCTTAGGGGATGGAGCATTAGCAGGACTCTACCTGAGCGTTTGATGGGAATCTTCGTCTGGTCTTTAACCAAGAGGTACTTCACCAAATCATTTGCCTGGGAAAGGGAAAACAAGGTAAAAAGATCAAAATATGTTTGCAGAAGATTTAAGAAGGCAGAAAAGATAGGCAAGGCAGTAGATAAGGCAGAGTGGAGAGGACAGGGTTCTTACCCTCCCCTGTAAAAGGGCCACATCTCGAGGTGGTGGTGCTTCAGGCTCTTGGGATGACTGGAGCTTAGCAGCTCGACGGCGAGCCTTGCCCCTACGGGCCTTAGGTGACCTCAGGGAGAGCAAAGCTCTCCGGGCCCAAGCAGCCAAACGAGTCCTTGATGCCCTGCGGGCCCAAAAGGCTATGGGGCCCCTTGAAGCCCTGCGGGCCATTGAGGCCATTAGGGCCTTTGAGACCCTTCGGCCAGCTGTGGTTCCAGAAGTCTGACTCTGATCACTGTTGCCATCATCTTCACCATTCAGATGCTTCACCTGCATCAACAGAGAGGAAGGAAGCACAATATTATCAGATGAAGTAGGTGGTCCTTTTCCCTCATCCTATCTCTTCTGGAAGGCCCCTCTAATCCCACCCCTAGAGTAACAGCCTGACTAGACATTGGCCATGTTGAGTCTTGGGTTTGTTTCTCACTGACTCCCACGCAGGAGTTTCATCCTGAATCAGGCCAGAAGCAACCTAATGGTGGGGCCTAAGGCTTCTCCTCTTCCTATGTCCACCACTGGCTCTGCTTGTATCACCCTGCACAAGTCACCCCAGCTCTCCGGGACTCAGCTTCCTTCTCTATAAAACTGGATTACTTTCAGGATTTAATGAAATAACCTGTATGAATACGCCTAGCTGAGGTCTAACACATGGTAGCTACTATGTAAATACAAAGTGCTTTATATTCACATTGCAGCTACATGTACCATCTCAATTCTCCACAGTCTGTGAACTCTCTGCAGAGAGAAATTATATCACATTCCTCTTATTGTCCCCCACAGCCTTGATGAGCACAGGGAACTTTCTAAATGTTTGCAGAACAAATGAATCAACTGAGAAGTGGAAAGGGAAGACTGGTGATTACAGAGGTCTTACCTTTCTGGCTTTCTTGGCCTTGACCTTGGGCCGAGTATCCTGATTCTGAGCCTGAGCAGCTGCACCCTCAGGCTTGGGTTCATCTGCCAAAGCCTGAGAGGCAGGAGCCTCAGTCTCCAAGGCCTTTGTATTGACCTTCGTATCAGCCACACAGCTGACCTTTTTGGTCTCAGTGGCAGGCATTGTCACAGGCTGAGGGTCAGCCCTCTGCATCTTGGTGTCAGCTGCTGGACTCTTCTTTTCAACTGCCAGAACCTGGGTATCAGTCAGCTTAGTGGTAGGTGAGGCCTGAGTGGCAGCTGCCTCCTGAGCCTCTGGGGCCTTTGAGACCTCTGTGGCCTTTGAGACTCCTGCAGCATTTGACACCTTCATGGCTTCTGAGACCTCTGGTGCCTTTGAGGTCTTCGGTATCTCTGAGACCTCCAAGTTCTGGGTCACTGTCAATAGGGTCTGTATCTTCAAGCCACTGTCCTTCTCTGAAGCTTCAGCCTGCAAGAGGAAGCAGGAAAGCTCACAGACCTCCCCACCCCCAACTAGGCAAACGGCTCCAAAATTCCAGGGCCTCACTCCTCTGACCTATATGAACTCCTCCTTGCAGTGTGCTCTGCCCACCTAACCCCAACAAGGCCTCTCCTTCCTCTGAGCAGGAAGTGATGGCAGAAGAAGGGTAGGCCTGCCCTCCCTCCCTCCTTCCTTCCTCCATCCTTCATTTCTTCTTTCTTTCCGGGTAAAGAAGGACAAGGATGGGAGGGGTGGTGCCAAGGGAACTGAGGCAGCAACAGGGGCTGGAGAAGAAAAGTAACAAGGGAGAGGACAGAAAGAGGCCTTACCTGGAAGCGGGTTGGACCCGTACCTCTCTTGCTTGTGTCAGACAT